CTGTCCTGGCAGGACTTGCAAGGCTGAGCAGAGCTCCTGAGCAGCCCCTCTTAGAAACAAAGGAAGTCCTAAGTCATAAGGGGCTCCCTAGTGATCCTTCCTTCCTTCCTTCCTTCCTTCCTTCCTTCCTTCCTTCCTTCCCTCCCTCCCTCCCTCCCTCCCTCCCTCCCTCCCTTGTCTAGCTACCTTCTAATATTATTTCTCTCCAAAGGCACCCAGTGACTTTTCCTGCATTGTGCTTCCCTCTGTCTAGATGTGTTTGACGCAAAGCTGGGTTGACCCGATGGAGAATCTGATGAACATTTATTTTCTCATTCACTCACTCAGACATAGTCTCACTCCTGCATCTTCCATACAACTGGCTTTATCTTTCCATGTTAAAACACTGCCCTCAGGCACAGATGCACATGAAATCAATTTCTTTAGGAGCATCGAGTAAGAAGCATTCTACAAGATGTTCATAGGTTTCAGGTATTTTCAATAGATTTATGTTTAAACTATACACACAGGTGTCAGTAGAAGTTGTAATCTAGGCTGTGTGTTTAACATTTATGTACTAAAATACTTAATTGTCTTTTTGCCCAACTAGCTTCATTCAAACAGACACATGCCACTGTATGCTGTGACACCTGAGATACTTCATTGCAAAGGGAGGATACATTTCCTTTCAAGTAGGACAATATTTCAGCAAATTAACATTAGCACAAATCAGAAATACATTCGTAAATCAGTACACTGTTTAGAAAATTATTATTAAAATACTACCTGTTTTTAAAAGTATAAACAACTATTGGTTTCTTTCTTTAGCTTTAGGTTATTTTATTTATAGGCCTACATATAGAAATATTTTTCAAACTTTTTACTTTTAAAATTGCAAAAGAAGGGTGAATCCACTATCTCCATATGTTAGTCCACTTTTGCAATTACAGATAATATTCTGGAAGGTTCCCTGGCTTCTGAAATGACTTTTTGCTTTATAAAACCCTGATATTGATATGTGTATTTGGTACACCTTCGGCTCTTTTCTGTAGCATGCTAAGGTTCATGTGAAAATGCCAACACACACACACATGCACACCCCATGAGATCTCAAAGGAAAAGACCCAATGTTGCTGGGCTTCTTAGGTGTACAACAAAATTAAGGAAGACTATAAATCAGAGCAGTGGGAATTATTATTATATCCATATTGTTTAGGCAAACACATTTTCGGCACCTACTTAAATTTCATGATGAATTGTGGCTGTAGTTTTTTTTAATTATATTTCCAGATGACTAAACCTTAGAAACATATAAATAAATTCAACTCCACATAGATAAGCAGATAGGTAGATTCCAGGTTAAGGCAGACAGAGAATAGCCATGCTTTGAAGACAGCATATGGATTTTTAAATTACTTATGAAAAAATACATTATTTCTTGGGATTTTTTTCTAAGATTTTACTCAGGATTTCTTAAATTTACATTTACTGTTTAGAAATGGATGTCAGTCACCTTTCAAGTTGCTTCATAGCTTGTATTTAAATATATAATCAAAGATAGACATAAATATATAAGGAATGATAGCAGAAGACAGAGATATAGGAAGACAGTAAGGAAGCAAGCTTGCAACCTTTTACAATGCCGACAACTCTTTTGCTGCTATTGTTCATGAAAAAAAATCCCAACTACCATGCACATCACATTTTATGATAAATGGGAAAAGCATTTCTAGAATGCCTAAGGAAACATTAACATGCCTTCTGACACTGTAAGATGTAATTAAGAATTTTCAAAAATTTGAAAAGAAAATGAAAAGTCCCATTTTCTTTCCCCTTCTTGATTCACTGTTTAAAATTAATTTCAGTCAAGCAAAAGAAAAGGGTTTAGCCACAGCACAGGAAGTTATGACACTACTTTGCACTGCTAAGTACAGAGAATTTTATTAACTTTTCCAGTCTACTGCCTTTCTTCATGGAGAAGTACAAAGGACCATTTCAGACTGATACGTGAGCAGAGGTTGTTTATATTTGCAAAGATATTTATAAATACTAACAATGAAGGACTAGATGAAATTCATCCAAGATGTCTAAAGGAGCTCAAAGGAGCACTTGGTACTTCCTTTTTTCTTATTCTCATGCCATTTCCCCAACTGACAAACTACAGGATGGATAGATGCAATACAACTGCTCATATGTACTTAAAAGCAAGAAATCCTTTCTTACATATGATGAGTTTCAGAAAAACAGTACTTGGAGTTGCTAGGAGAATATTAAATGGTCCAATGAGCCAGTCAGAACATGATTATATTTTTTTCAACCCCTTAACATCAGCAGCAAAAGAAACGGAGACACTTAAGGGCTTAAAAGGGCAGAAATGTATCATCTAGATCAAACTAATAACAGGCATATAACAGCACACCAGGAGAGGCAGATGAGGAAGAAAGATAGAGTCAACTGGACTCTAATGGACATTTTCAGACTCAATTTTAAGAGTCTATGGTATGGTCTACAGGGTAAATATTTCAGCACCCGACTTCAGGCTTTGCCTGCAGTGCATAATCAAATGTTCAATAATAATAGCAGCAAAATCTTCTAGCCTGCCTTCTTTCACAGATCTTTAGCCAGGTTGCAACAGAGAGAGACAGTAGAAGTCAAACCCTTCCCTCCACTACAGCCCTGCCTGCTCCAGCTGATTGAGTCACCCCACCGCTCCTTCCAAGACTCCTCTGTGTGTCAAATTCCTGGATTACTTGTTGACCCAGGCAGTCTCTTTTCCATGCTACATCTCTGTTCCCCATGGAAGCAACAGCAGTGTCAATATCTGCCCAAACTCTCCATAGGCAGCGCAGGGTGTTGGAGGAAAAAAGCAGGGCAGCACCCTTGCTGTGTAGGAACAGCAGAGTGCACACGAGGAGGCACATTTGTAATGTCCCTGTCTTTGGCCAGCTATTTTTCCAAAAATCATCCCACTGGCAAGGGACAGAGATTAAGTGACTTCTGTGCCAAACACAGCACGCACCATGTGGAAGAAGCATGTTTGGGATTTGGCACTAGTAACAAGATAAATATGCTAACTGGCTTGTCTTCCAAGCAAGACCTGAACAGGGGGTCTGAATGATATTTCACATTTTCTTATCAAAGTGTAATGCCCTGGTATTGTGTGTTGCAAGCACCCATGATGCTCTTGAAATGAAGCCCTCTGCAGAGCTGGTCTCATTATTGGAAGGGTTAGAGAATTGTGTACATGGCTGTAGATCCAGGGAAGCAAATCCAAAACCTGATTTGGATGCTGTATAGATAGAGAAAATAATTTTCAAGTATGTAAGGCAGCTGCAGAAGAAGGTTCCTTACTCTTAATTAAAAAAAAAAAAAACAAAAAAAACAAAAAAAAACCCAAAAAAAACCCCACAAAACCAGATTAGGAAGGCATTATTTACATTTGATAAATCAGAAATGGCACCAAAGGAAGCTAGTATTACAAACTATTAATGAAACATATCATAATGAAACAAATCACATAATAGATCACAACAAAGTGATTCAGTGTCATGAATACTGATACCAAGTAAGTGAATCTGGGCTCTGGGGATAGAGTTTCAAATCCATTCCAGTGAGTGTGGTAGGAGTGTGATCAGGAAAGAAAAAAGAAAAAATAATTTGAGTGTTCCATTGCTCACACTGACCACATCCACACCTTACAACAGTTGTCCTTTTGATGACATAGCTAGATAAAAATTATATTTAAAAGTTATGTTACCTACCAAGGTCAAAAATAGACATTTATTATTTCTTCTGTCAAGGTAACAACTGGGATCTCATCACCCATGCAGATATCAGCCAACTGTCCTAATTTCACAGAATAGTGTGAGTAAATAAACATTAAACATATTAAAAAAGACAGCCAGACAATGCTTCATCAACACAGATTACAAAATCATTTATTTCTTATAATTACAGAAAGCCCATTGCTGCTACAGAACATGGTAGTGTCTTGAGGGTCAAACAAATCTAAAATTCAGATCTTCAGAAAGATTTTAGATTTTGGAGGTACAAAAGGTGAAGTCTTTGATAAAGAGAGGGATGCCTTACATAGCTTATATAAAATATTTGTATTTTGATCACACACAAGAAACTTCAGGTGGTGTGTAGGTCCTGATTCCATTTCAGACTTGTCTGTATCCTAAATCCTGCCTAAGTCAATTCTCACAATATCAAAGCCTACCAAATCAAACATTAATTTGTGCATTTACAGCTAAATACATTTTTTTTTTTAGCATGCATTTGCAAAAAATAATTTGGCCTTTTTTTGGGTTTTTTTTTGACATGAAAGCATTCACACATGTAGCACTGGAAAGCCAGTTTGATAGCTAAGGAGAGGCACTGCAAAATCAATACATTGAGCAGGGAGCTGCCTAAGCCTGCCTAAGCTATTGCAGTGTTACTGATAACAGCCTCTCTTAAGAGACCCTTTGGATCTAAAGGTTCTCAGCTGAGGTTCTGGCTCAGCTACAAGATTTTACAATCAAATGTCAGTGAGAAGCTTACCGACACAGGGTGAACTTCTGAATAACAAGATATTTATTACCCTCTGTTATGGTCTTAAGAGAAGCCATATATAGTAAGGCTGAAGGGTTTTGCAGTTTGTTTGGAAAACGATTTTGAAAAGATCTAAATTTTAATAAATGATGAAAGTGAAAAAAATTCATCAAATGAATACATACTGACAGATTTGAAACAAGCTAAATTTAGCTTACCCACAAATCATTACTGAAACACAAATATTTGAGTATGTTACTACATATGTAACTACACACTACAATTATGATTGCTCAGTTCAAGTCCACAGAACCATGTTAGAGATTTAAATTTCTGATATCTAAATTTCTGTCATGCAAAGTTTTTGAGCATCTATAATAGGATCAGAATTCTGTGCTCACATTAGACATATTTAATTTACTGTGATGTTTTTAATACATTGTTTTGACTTTTCTTCACAATAATTACAATGCCTTCAGAATTATAAAAGACAAGTAAATCAAATCAGCATGGGTTTGAAGAAGCATCACACTCAGAAAGAATCAGAAATCAAGCAGCTGTGGATAAAGCTGCACTATGGTGAAGCCATCATTTTCATCTTCAGAAAGCCACCTTAAGGGAAAAGCATAAAAACCTGTCACAGACAGAGCACATATAAAACTAAAGAAACAGACAATTTGTGAGAATCTCGTTCTGCACCTTTGATTTTCTAGGAGAGTTTTACATTGGTTTGTAGAGAAGAAAAAACCAGCCTGAAGAAAATAGTATCTTTTAAAATGTTTGTTCTAGTATTCACATATGTGTAATTTTAAAGTGTAATTAACTATATAAATATACTTATGAAATATACATTAATTTTATTTTTTGGTCATATAGATAACTAGTAAATTGCTCCAAAGAATGATAATAAAATCAGGAAAATTTAGAGTAGGGAAACATATTCTGTGATAGCAAGTTATTGTCCTTGCAAATGATTCTAGGAACTCTGTCTTGCCCATACCTCTTTGTTGGTTCACAAAATACTGAGTTGCATGATGGGCCCAATCCTAGCTCTGTAAGAGCCTATGGAGCTTTTACAGGTCCAGGCTGAAGCATAACTGAATTTGCAGCTAAAACTGTATGTGGAGTCACTAGGAAAGGTGTGATGCATAAGCTAGATTACAGGTCTTTAAATTGGATAGGAAAGGATTCAGATTTCTCAGTGATTAATGACTTTTAGAGATGTTATTTGTATTGGAGGAGTCTTTTTTGAGTGAGAGAATGAGCCCACTCCCCATTTACTCCGTAGGCCATGAGATGAGGAGCTCCATGTCTCAGCTGGAAGAGGACCATGAACTTAGAGTTTCCTCTATCTGAGGAGCCTCTGGGTCGCTGAGTATCCTGGGGTTAACCTCCTAATCTCTCCTACCAAATAACTTCCAGTTTGAGTAGGTTGATATACTTCAAGGTAGGCACATAGCCCACCAAGACCCCAGTTAAATGTTCTTGGCAGGTGCATGTAGAATCAATCTGTGCCAGTCACTCACCCACATCAATAATGTGATTCAAGTTATTGTGCCAGTCTCTTATATACCTTTGTTCTTTTACTATAAGATTCTAAATAAAATTGAAAAAAAGCAAATATCTGGGGGAAAAAAAAAATGTTTGCTGCAGTCTATCTTCTGCAAGAATCTTCGTCTGACTGGTGTGGTCTGAAAACTCTTATAAGCAAAAGAGGTGAAGTGGCATCAAATCCTGAAAATCTTGTCACTGATTGTGTTGCACATCAGAGTGATATTGTGGTTTAAGAACTTTGCTTAATGCCCACTAACTTAGATTTAGGCATCTAGAAGATTAGAGAGCATCTGAGCATGCCTTTGGAGGAAGTTGAAGCAAGGGAAGTTTATTGTTGTTGGAAGAAGTTTAATGTTGTTGAGGTCAGTACACCATCACTGTAGTGATTTAGACTGTAGAGACCAACTGAGTATGCAAGAGCTGTAAAAGTTACGGCTTTTTGGTACAGAAGCTGGGGTTTGGCTTCCATTAATTGTCAAGATTACAGAAGTATTTAGGGAAAGGATAAAATTAAATATTCTTGGCTACCATTTCTGTTTTCAGATTATCAGGTAACATTTGCTTTCTAGATACAGGGAACTTGTAAATTTTCACACTTCTGTGTTCTCCAGATGCATTAAAAAGCTAATTTCCACTAGGAAGGACATGAATATGTTTGCATCAGTTATTTATTCTGAAATTCTTCAAGCTGTGAATGATATATTGTAGTGAACAGTCACTCCAAATGTACCCTTCAATTTAATTTCCAATTTTTGAAACTGTGTTCTTTCAGTTTCATGCAGACTGATGTGCACCTTCTTTTTGTACATCAGTAGCTCTTTACCCAAGCAACCCAGTGCCTAAATACATTTCTAAATTTAGATCATTACACTTCTACATTACATTATAGAAAAAAATTTTTTTTCTTTATCCTATTTGCTGAATATATCTTGGGCCTATACTAAACAAACATTGAAACAGAAGGATTCTAATGTTTTAATGTTGTCCTTGCTCAATAAAATACACTGCTTCTTCCACGAGTGTTGAATCTCTGCTGCCACGTTCCACTGTCTTCTTTTCTGATTCCCTTCCATGCCTGTTTGCTTACCCCTGATATGTTTGCCAGAGCTATTTATGTGCTAATGCTTGTATACTGGTTCACCAGACACCTTCTACCTCTTGAATTCAAAATATACTTTCTCTTGGCAAAGGCATTAAATTACGTCTCTCCCTCCTACAATCATTCAGTTTTAATTGCGTGGAAAAATCTAGTGTCTTCCTCTAACAGTTCTTCTGACAAATGAGTTTCAAGTTGGCCAGGGAGTTCAAAAGTCATTGGTGGTGGATGGATAAGAACACAACATTGTTGTGTTCTTATCCATCCAAAAAAATCATTACTGTCTTAGAAAACCAGACAGAAGCAACTGAGAGACTTGTGAAAAAGAAAACAGCATGTACAGAGGGATGATGGACTGATCTACTGACCTGTTACAGTTGAAGCAATGTATTGAATTTCTAGCTGCATCTGTGATTTCCACTTTTTCTAGAAACCAGCCACTTGCTGTAGAATGAAAAAAAAAAAAAAAAGAAAGAGCAAATTTAATATAAACAAAACACAAATACAGCATAAGAAAGGTTTCTAATTTCATTTCCCAAACCCCATGTGGTTCAGTACTTCCAAGTATATACAACATCAATAATAAAACTGAAACACAGATGATTCAAATTACTACCAAATTCTCTCAGTTTTACAGGAAAGGTCTTTGATGTTTTTGACAGAAAATGTAATGGAAGATTTTTGTTACGACTTAACTTATTTTTCCAGATTGGATAGAACAGGCAGTAAGAAAAATGAAACAGAGTGCATGGTAATATTGGGTAATATTGAATACACTCTTGAAAACCCATTTTGCCCTTTCAGGTACTTGGAAATGCACTCAAAATGCACCCTTAGTGGGCATTCTACTACTCTTTTCTAACTAATATATTGATATGGATGTGAACCAAGTGATGAAATCCCTATTTTTCCAGCAGTCATGAGTCAGAATAACATTTTCATTTAGGCCAGCACTCATATTTGTTTCAGCTTTAAGGAGATACTAAATATTCTACTTTAATCCCCTGTTTTGCTGTGTGAAGAAATACCTTTGTTGTTGTGATATAGAATTTTATTTCATAGACTATCAAAATATTAATATTTTAAAACAAAACTTTATTTTGTATATACAATGTCTGTGTTGATATTTTTAGTTGTCCTTGCCAATGCAAACACTTAATTTAAAAAATTTTAAACTAATTAAGATCATACTGCTAGTAGATGACAACATTTTGGTACTCTTTATATGTCCTAGAGATAAAGAACTAGATCCTATCTAATTATTTTGGTTTTCAAATATTTTGCATGAAGTACTAAGTAGGCTAAAACCAATAAAATATTTTTATTCATAAATGCTAAATTTTAACTGCACATGCTAAAAATGCAATATAAAAATATTTGCAAATTGTGTTAGTTTGGATAAAATGTAAAGGTACAGCAATGTTTCTTTTTATTCAATGACATTTTCAAAAAAATAGCTGGGTAAAGTAGGCCATGAAGGTGTCTAGGCATTCCACCTTCAATTCGCAAGATCCATTTATTGATATTGTGAAGTACTTTTGAAACTCTTTTAATGAAACCTTGTGAATGGTTTAATATATCATACACTCTACTTGGAATAGATGACCTTTCATGAAATCTCTAAATCAGAGTCAAGATCATCAGCAATAAAATTTTACAGCCTCTCAAATTTACACGACGTTTTACAAAAGAATAGAAAGTCAAGTTTGCTCTCTTGAAAATATTAAAATCTAATGCTTCATCCTTTATTGACAAAACTCCAACAGACCTCACTGAAATCTCCAGGTGTGAAGAAATCTAGAGGTAGCTAGGATATATTAGCAAACAGATGAGACATCTCAAAGAGGTACTGTAACGTTTGAGGAAGCTTGTGGGGATAACAGATGATGTGACAAAAGACACTTGGAGGTAATTTCAGAGAAATATTTAGGGGAAGGTTGTCATGGTCAAGATGAATTGACACACAGCAGCTATGCTAGGAAGGCACTATTAGCAGCTATGTGATGTTGATCAGGAGACAGAGAGGGAAAATAATAATGTTGTTGATAGATCAGGACCCAGGAAATAAAAGTTCAATCTATTATTTCACCTGCAGACTTTTATGCAACTCTCACTACTAAAAATCTGCCATTGTGGAGTTCCCAGATCAGATCTAAGCTGAACTGTGTGCATGTATAGCAGTTATCACAAATAAGATGAAAGCAGGAAAATCTGGTTTATTATAGATATTTCCACGGGTTTGGTGTTTTTTTCTGTTTTCAACACCATGAAATATATGACATGACTGGGTGGTTAGGAAAATAGAAAAGCTGTTCAACTTTTTCCAAATAAGAATTGCTATTTGCAGAATTTTTCTTGGTTCATCCTAGAAATGATAAACCCTTTGGCACTTCATTATGCCTCATGAACTTAGATTAATCAGATTTTATTGAACCTAAACCTATTTCTTTGAGATGGGTTAAGCAAACTTCACCTGACTAGAGTATCTTAATGCAATCAGACCTTTCTGATTCAACTTATACATTCCCTGCAAATTCAGTTTATGTCCTTGTATATCTCTATATGTCTGTATATATCTTGATATCCACATATCCCTACGGGGTTTTAGCACTATTAAATGTAAGCTCAAAAGATTACATGCCCTAGTCTCCCGTTTTATTTTTCTGTAAAATTCAGGGTTTAGAGGTTACTGTTCACAGAAACATCTTCCATTATCATGTGTGGTTATGTTCTATAGCCACATCCTAACTTAACATCAGGGCAGGACCTGGTGCATAATGGTGTTCTCAGACTTTCACAAGAGGAGGTCTATGGATGTGAGAGGGAGTTACAGCATGCTTTGACCAGAGTCCCCAAACTTGCTCAAATCATGGTAAGTTTAGCCTGCAGTTTGAAAGTTCAATCCTATCTTATTTATGATATCTAATGAGGGGTTTGGCTGAGCAATGTTTGAAGGATAAAACTATCTGAGGTTTATTTTAACTAGATCACTGTTAGAAAAAGAATTGTGGGATAGTCAAGGGAAGTGTGATAGAGGGGGTGAAAACAAGGGCAGTAAAGCTGACCTCACTTGTACACAGGTTTGTATTAGCTAGCTGTAGCAGTAGTGTGACTTCAAGAACCTTTCCAAATGTCAGGCAGATCCTTAAGCAGAAGAGGTTTGCAAGGCTGCTGAGCACAGAATACTTACCAAATCCTTTCCCATCGTGGCCAATTTCAATTGAACGTAGGCTGCCTAATTTTTTTGTCTTAATCTTGAAGGTATCAACCTTTAATATTAAAATACAGTTATTAAAAATATGATACTAATGTTTGGAAGCTTACATATTTGTCTAGGTCAGTTCTGAGACCAATCTAAGTGTAATAGTAGAAGTTCAGAATAAGTGAACCACTGATGTGGCTTATTTTCCCTACTGATGGTGTGTGGCATACATCCTCTCCTATTAGGTCTCAGTTTCAAGACAAAAGATTCACTTTTCAACTTCTAGTATAAAAATCCCTACCTCTTTCTTGACTTTCATCTACTGTGAAAACATTTTTGGTCTCGTGAATCCTCAACTGGTATAGTTTTCTAAAATGTTTTTAGTATATGATACATAAATAAAAATTCAGGAACATAAAAGTTAAAGGCTTTTACTACATTGAACATTATTCCTCTCAAATATTACATACTTTAATTTAAAATATTACATTGTTTCATATTGCAGATTTTTAAAAATAAATTCTTTTTTCCTAAGACCTTTGACATCACTGACTATGCACCAACTTACCTGGATTGCTAACAGGATTTCTACATATCTACTGTTCTGTTTTGAAGGGTAATGACACCTCCTGTGTAGTACCAGGCAAAAGGAAATACTACTCAAGACATTTTTTTACTTGCTCCTTGTGCCTGTAGGTAGCTAGATTTATTACACTCCTCAGTATGGAAGGAAATTCATGGATAAATATCTTTATCTCACAGACAACCTGGCTGAAGAAACTTAGATTAATTCCAGGTAAAAAGATGATTAATATTGCTGGAGATAATGAGGTAGATCTCTTAAGGGATATATTTTCACTGGAGTTCTAATTATTTAGTCATTACCTTTCAATAACTCCATAACAGAAAGTTACAGAGAATATATATATGTTTCTTTTTTACTTAAGGGTAACCATCATTGTACTCCATTGTGCAAGTGGTGACCAAACAGAGCAATTTCTTTGCCAAATAATATGTTCATTAAATTAGGAGAACATCCAGCCAAGGCACTAGGACATCATGCAGAGAATCTGCATTTTATTCAAATATCTGTATCTGAACTAAGGGTCTCTGAATAACAGCCTAAAGCACGATGGGTCTCAGAATCAGGCTGATGTGTATGGTTCCATTTCACCTGGTTTTAGGCTTATACATCCAGGGATGCTCACAGCACCAGTTTCCATGGCAAAGTAAAATGATGGGATGTAAGAGACTGACGTGTTCTCATGCACAATATTCAAAGTTTGTGAAACAGCACAGGGTAGTGCACACACGTGCACAGGCCACTCATGCTGTGCATTTCAGAATGAGGAAATACATAGCTGGGCAGGTAAGTGGAGGCAGTATGAAGATGTATTTAGGACTAATAGGCAGAAGAGCAGCTAGATACAATAGAAGTTCCTTGGTGAGTCTGGTGGAAAGAAGAAACACAGGGTGAGCTGAGGCTATACCTCACATAGTGATGTGGAAAACAGAATAAATGCTTCAAGTTTTCTAAAGAACTTGCCTAGATGTAATGTTTGCTTTTCTGGTACAGAAATGGACACAACCTATAAAATCTGTGTACTCACCTTTCCTCTTTCAAAGGGGTTTTGATGCTCCAGTGACTGAGAGAGTTGAAATACCTCAGATTTGTCCTCATTCCCAAATAAAATAATATGCACATTGGCATCAGTCCCTGCTCCCCTTTTGTCACCTGTGTATACTTTAATAGTATACTCTGTCAAATGTTTTACTTTACTTCCTTCTTTATTCAAGTTGTTATCTATGTCATTCTTTTGTTTCTCTCTTCTAATAACAAAAGATCTTGGGATTTCTTTCTGTATTTTGGGCTTATTTGCACTCACAGAAAATTCTCTGAAAAACAGAACCATATTTGATTTTTGGTAAGTAAATAATATGCTAAATGAAAAAAAAATCCTATTAATTTATGTGCAACAGCTAAAGATGGGCATATTTTTAAAATATCTATTGAGAGAATCACTCTATGGCATTTACTTTAATTCAGTGTCTGCTCAGAGTTTTTAACTATTATGCTATTAAAAAAACATTACTAGATTTACACAATATACTTACTCATTCACTTCAAATACATAGATAGGATGCTCCTTCACAGCTTCTTGCACATGCAGTTTTTTGATGTCCACTTTGCAGTCTGCAAAGAAGGAAAGAGAATATAGTCAAAATGTTCCATTGCATGAAAAGAAAGTGTTCTTGGTGTAATGATGGCAGTCTTAATTTGTGAATGCCAACAACTGAGTTGAAAATGCTGGAATGACTACAAGATTCTTTATTTTGTTCCTATTTGTAAACCTCAACTTAGAAATTTAGGCGTAAGCATTTCCTTTGTCTTAGTGAAGCAAAGGAGTGTTGTCCTTGGCAGGTACATTTGAGAAGGAAGAGCAGAAATACAGGTTTGTTGCTTCCTCCTCAGTGGCTGGTTGACAAGAGGACTGGAGCTCTATTGTACGTGCAGCACAAAGAGGACCTCACTAGGTAGGAGGGGATTTCAGCAGCTCACTGTATCTCTCTGCTGTTTGGAAAAGATTGCTCTCTGACTTACACTCAGTTTTGAATTTTTTGCTGGGGGCTTCAGCTGCATGGCCTGAGTGTCTTGACACTAGTTAGTCTATGGCAAAATAAGAGAAAATGAAGACTATTCATTTTCCCTTCTATTATTTGTAGCTTCAGCCCTGTTCAACAAACTGCATTCCAATCTCTTCTGCTACTATCCAATTCCCTTTAATTATATCAACAGGCTTCTGTGGCGGAATCCAGAACATTGTGTTACACTCATGACCTGCCAAGATAAGTGCAGAGAGTCAGAAGATTCAGGAAGGGACCATGAACCATCTAATCTTAAAAACTTGCTCTCATAAGGAATGAAAGCATAAATACACTAGAGAACATTGCCTGGACTGATCAGTCCTGCAGGGTACATCTGACTTTAAAGAGATTTTATGGAGTTTGGGATTTTTAGTTCAAAGTCATGGTCCAAATTAGTCTCAGTTCAAACAAGTCTAGTTACAATGCAGACACCCTTACTCATCTCAAGTGTTTTATCATCTAAGTAAGTCCTTGGAAGAAATACCTGTTAAATCATCTCAATCCTCTCTTCATAACACACACAGAGGCAATGAGCCCACTGTCCCTTCTTCGTGAATTGTGTTTTCAAACCTGAATGGAAAAGTCTCGCCTGTCAGGTTCTCCGTGGTGCCCTTTGGCTACACACAATTGCCACATTCAGTGACTGTCACTCAGACAGATGGCTGCAGTTAACTTTCACAACTGAAGCTGTGGGAAACAAAAGCAGTGAGCTGCTCGCCTTGCTCCCCGCAGCAGCATGGCAGGGCTGTCCCTGTCCTTCCCTTGCCCTCTGGAGCGACTGCAGCCCCACACCCTGTCCCCCTGGGGGTGACCAAGGCAGCCTGTGCTGGACATGGGATGTGTGACCAGCCAAGGAGTTCGTGCATGCTCACTGCCCAAATGTCATCTCACATACTTGGTTGAAACCGGGTGCTGTGCCTAAAAGGTTTTTATGAGGAGCCTCCGGATGAGCAAAAAAAAAAAAAAAAAAAAAAAAAAAAAAAGACAGATGAAGTGCAAACACAGAACCTTTGCTTCCCTAGAAAAACTGTCTGAAAATGGTCACGTGTAATGCATAGTAATGATTTGCAATTATATAGCAAATTTCATTAGTGGATTTCAAAAAACTTTGTAATTAATTCTTTGAATTAGTAGCATGATAGCCATCCTACAGATAAAGCAGAGAGATGTTGAGGTCAAGACAATTTTAAGGAAGTTCAGTAACAAAACTTGCTGACTGCCAAACAGAGGTAAAAATTCCCTCTGAATGTCACGGGGAAACGGGGCGGGGAGGGGGAAACAGTGAATATAATTGAATCACAGAAGGAAAATTAAACAATACCAATTTCTTACTTGAGTAATAATTATTCTCCTAGATAACTTAGTAGTAGAGCATGTATTACGTGCAGAATATAATTATATTAATCTTCATTTACTTTCTTAATGCAATAATGTTATAACCTTTAGATCCCAGGATTTTAATTTTTTTATTAGACACTACCCTTTAGAAAAAATAGCAAAAGGAATTAACTAGAATTTAACTCTGGCAGGGACTTTGTTGCCTTTAACAGGAGGTTAGTGTGTGATTTACATGACTGAATTTAGAAAGTAAAAACTATTTTACCTGTTTTACTGCTGATCAAAAGAACAATTTTTTCCAGTTCTCCCAAGTCAACAGCATCCACCATAACTAGAAATGACTAAAATAAAATTATTCAGTATTGTAATATAAAACCATGTTTCTTAACTCTATGGGGAAATTTTAAAATAATATGTAGGAAGTACAAGAATGGATTAAAGAGTAAATTTTAAAATACTTTAAGACAGAGTACCTCATTTTTCTCTCCCTGCCGTACATTCTGCAATGACTGGAGAAGGGATCTGTCTCCTGTGTCACCACGAGTACCATAGATACATGCAGTCATATGCACTAAATTTCTCTCATTCAAAATATTTCTTGAAAATACTGTTAGATGATATGTAACCACTGCAATATCAAGTAAAAAGAGATCTTGTTAAAACTGTGCCACAACCTTGCACAGCAATTTGACAACATGGTATTCTACAGTCAGATGTAATTAAAATTCAAGCACTTGAAAATAATAGCAAAACCCAAATTTTTTGCAATTTTTTCTTCATAATTGTTTTGCCACCATCTCCCAGATCTGACATTTGAGAAGTGAGGCTGGACCAGCCCAAAACAAAAGTGAAAGGATTGCATTTGGAAGGTTTGATTCTTGGATCACTATGTCAAAGAGCAGCAAGAGTGGACCTGCCCCACAAGAGTGGACAAGGTAGAAGCTGAGCACAACCCCAGCTCGAGGCAGGCAGAGCTGTCCAGAGTCCCAGATGCAGCAAACAGTGAAAAAGACCTGGGATCCATCCTGGTGATTGAGCTGGGGGCAGAAGGAGAAAGGGCCGGAGAAGGAATGAGAATAAGGCTACGACATAGGTCCAAAGTCTGTGCAGGAGAGGGGAGCAGAGAGAGAACTAGGGAAAGATGCACATAACATGTGGCTCAGGCATGATCTGACTGAGGCATCCTCTGCCCATCATCGCTGGAGGTTCCAGGTGAGTCCAGCCAAGACTCATCGTGGCCCTGATGCACTGGAGTCAAGTGAAGAGGTTTCAGTGATGAACTTTGGATCAGATCACACGGTGGATAGCACCGGGAGAGCCCATCCTACAGAGGAGGGCAATTGAGGAGATTAATGTAGGCAAGGGTAGGAGGGCTAAAATGCTTAAATAGCAGTCTTTGTTTGGGTAGTGTGATCAGACCACACGTGTAACCACCAAGATTTTATCTCTCTAGTGTGCTGAATAAATTGGAAAGGGGAAAGACTAAAGGAATCTCTGAAAAGAAATTACATACAACAAGGGAAACACATATTAATGTTACAACTCCATTAATTTTATAAAATTCTAATTATTTTGTAAGATCAATATGAATTGCAACTCTCTCTTAAATTTATGGGAATAATCAGCTTGAAAGTAGCATAATAGGGTTTTTTTCATCTTTTCAATATTTAATTGTTTTGCCTCAAAAACTACAGTATTGCAAAATTGACCTTCTGAACAGCCCTGTGTGTGAGAGGAGAGAGACAGCACTGTGTCATCCCTGGGGATCCCTGAGGTGTAAACATCTCAAAGGAAGGTACAGTAAAGGGAAACTACTTATGTATATACTCAGCTGGAGGCCTCTGCTCATTAATACACCCAAAGGCACGAGTGTGCGCTGCCAGATCTCGAGGGTCTCTATCAACTGCATTTTGATGGCTTCAATTAGCCATTAGCAAATGCTTCATCACAATCCCAAGCATAAATTTTTTTTAAAAGGAAAATATAACTGAGATAAAATACTAAGGCACTCTATGAATGACAGAGCTGTATTGAAATTTAACATCACATGGCTTCTGGTTATGGTGAGTGTGATTAGCTGCTTCATTCCAATTAATACAATACTGGTTTTGCTTTTAGCTGATAAAAGGGAGAAAATAAATTAGGTTTACAAAGCTGTCAAAAAGCATATCTGGTTTTCACAATAAATTGCCAGTAAATTTGTCTCTAAAGATCACTTTGAACTCCATGTGTACCTCCTGCTGTGGAGCTGCTTAAAGCTCTCTCAGACATAAATGGCAAAGATTTGGGGGAATCACTGTCCTAGTTTTTTTTTTTGCTTCACTGGTTACATATCCCACCTTGAAAAAATCTAAAGCATGGGTGGAAAGAAATAAAAACCACAGAAATTAGCTATTTCATTTGTTTGTTCTTTTACCTAAATTTATAGATAATATAACACCTATTCCTTGTTTGTGATGGTTTTTTTCTCTTGATTTCAGAGTAGTTACAAAGAACAAAAATATTACCAGGAAGAAAACCCAAAAAGCAAAGAATGGGGAAGTTATTTTTTCAACAAAGAGGTCAGTGACAGAGGCAGAGCCAAGGTCATAAGGACTCCAGTCTTGTCCCCACTTTATCACCATGCTGCATTTTTCTCTCCTCATTTCTGTGTGCTTGTACCTGGATCCTGAATACTTCTGCAAGTGACAGTGATCAGTCCTTTGCAAGGGGTGCACTCATCTGCTTTTTGTTAATCTGAAGATCCTCTTTGTTTCAATCTTGTGTGTAGGAGATGAAAGCTATTGAGCCCTGTTTTGTACCCCTACTGTGTAAGTGGTCAAGTGAAAATAACACCTCTAAGAAATATAAAATTTAAAGCCTAGGTACAAATTTTAGATTTCAGTTGCAGCCAAAATATGCAAAATAACCCCAAACTTTAACCTCTGTAACTTCTTCTGAGATTATTCACATACTTACTTTTGGATGCATTCAGAGCCCTCACTGAAATTGTCCATAAATTCCAATCCAAGTTGTGTTGGAGTAGTTCATTTTACCTCTACTTCAGCTCACTTTAGATGAGCTGACTTATTTTTTACCCAAATAATTAATTTGTTTTCTGCATAAAACCCAAGCACAAATTATTTGAATATTAAGTATCATTGTTTGGTCTGTTAATTAAGTTAGTATTTCTTCCATCATATGGCAGCATTCAGTAAGCATGACATTAGGGAATAGGGTGGATTTTAGGTGAAAAGATTTATTTTATTTTATTTAACCAAGGTGACAAATGTAAGAATTGTTGAGCTAATTTTAGGAGGCATAAATATTTGGAGTATATAAAGGTAATAAAGCTGAAGCTTATATGTAGTTTTGAGCTGTTATTTACTGAGAATGCTTGTTTGGAATTTGAGAACAAACAAAAAAATCACTTAATAGTAAATGAACTATAAAAAAAACCATGTTGTTAATGTCAGCAATATGAGCAGCTGAGGACTAAACAAAAGAGAATAAAAATATTACAATAGTGTAAGAAAAGAATATTTCTTATAAACTGTTCTTTGTAGCATATAATGCTTCTGTGCAATCAAGTGAATATTGCATTTCCCACTTTATGGTACAGAAATTAAGCTGAGTGGGTAATATTTTCCTTCATACCTTTTAACTTCTTATCCAGTCTCTATGAATCATTAAATAAAGACAATAAAAATTTCTGTTTCGATAAAGGTTTCTACTGTAATACTAAGACATGTTAACCTCCTGAACCACTCTACTGCTTTGAAGTAGATTTATACCTACCAGAAAGTGCTTCTTTTAATGGCCACTGTATAGGGAATTCAATCCATCTGTCTCCATTAGGAGAAAGAGGAAGTGTTTTATTCATGGTGAGACTAAAGGTATCCAGGGTTGATGTGTTCTGTATTTTAAAGTGATGAAGAGACAACTGGGATATGTTGTTTTCCAAACTCTGGAGACCAAGCCTCACTTTATAAAGCATTCCCAAATCAGATGGCAAATGTATCTAGGAATCAACAAAACAATGAGTTAGCATCCAAACAGAGGTGTGCAGATAAATGCACAGGTAGTTTACAGGAAGAGAGGAAGCTGGCTCTAAAGGAGTCAGCACAGTCCTGCACCCATTTGCATCAGTCTTGGTGTTAAAAGTGCCATTCACTTCAAAAGCAGCAGAACCAGGTTGACTGTAGGCACTTAAGGACATTTTAGCTTTATCCTCTAGGGGCATTCATTGTAAGTGTTCTATCAAATTCAAATTACGTACGCCAATGATTCCTAATGTGAATAAGTAATGTTAATGTCATTCAAAATTATATGCATTATTAACTATGACTATTTGTTGGGGGAAAAAAGAATATGCTTGATCATCATAAGCTTGAGAAAGACAGAAATTAAAAATAAAATATGGTATGCCACTGAAAACTTCAGCTCTGATTTTCTTGAATATTTAAACAATAATACAAACAATAAAAATAATATTTACAGCACTACATGGTTATTTTTCATTAAAAGGAAACTCAAAGAAAATTTAAATATAGGCAAATCTATATATTATTTTACATCATATGTTATTTGGTTCTCAGTCTGATGTTCCACTTTATTTTCCATGGAAACTGGATTTGACTTGCCGTTGCTTCCATAAAAAACCATAACCATCTTGGATATATTTTCTGACAACTTTTCAAATTCTGATTTTGTTTCTTCTTGATGCTTTGTGAAATAAATCCTCCATCTGCCTTCTGAACAAATAAAATAAGGAAAATAAAAAGGAAAAATATTAAGGATGTTTCTGTTTTCATATATTAACAAAGGTATCTGATACAAACCTTCTAAGACATGCCTTGTTCTACATGGGAAATATTATTTTATAAACATGTCACCTGGGTATTGAGTAGCTGCCTAAGTTCATTGCCATTTTTATAAAGGGGAAACTATTGTCAGTACTAGTAAGTATAATGGCATATTGTGATGAAAATATTCTCACATTATTATTTCAAAACTGATTTATAAAACAGTCAATATAATGACAGAAGGTATACCTGAATTCATTTGCTCTCTTCCTAAAGGCCAGGCAGATGTACTCCTCCTCCCCTGAACTACTAATTAAAAAAAAAAAAAAAAAAAAAAAAAAAAAGATAAAATTAATATTTTTGTAGAATAGTATCTATATGATAATAAAGGTCTGCATTCATGTCTAGTGAGGCAATTGACTGAGTATTATATCATTTAGATTAAAGATTTAACTAGGAAATGTACAGTGTGATTTTCTATTTAAGCATCATCTAAATATCACCCTATTAAATAAACTGTCTCTAGGGATGGCTCTAGGAAAATGGTAGTAACATGAAGATTCAAGTATTTTTCATTTTAAAGCATTTCTCTTTCATTTGTACAATTTATGGTCTGGATGAATGAGCACTAATTGGATGTCTTTAATGCCCATTCTAGAGGCTGATGTTCCTCCCACAGATATGAGTCCCCACTGATTTCATCGGGATTTGGTATAGATCAAAGCTGCCTGTAAACATTAGGTAGTGACCTGCACTGAAAATGAAAAGATTTCTTTTGAGTTCATAACCAAAATTGGATTTGCCAATTATTGTATAAAGAAACTCATGGGAACATTTGTCCAAATCAATGAAATTTAGTAGAAACAGAACTAAATATGGCCTTTTTTTTTTTTTTTCCCCAGAGATGTCCCAACATACAAACTGAACCAAAGCTGAAATTATTCACTTTTGCACAAAAACAGTTTCCTCCTTTTTTTTTTCTGTTTCAAATGATCAAAAGTTAGAGATCATACAGCAGAGGAAATGGATTGGACTGGAATATCCTTCAGTCTCAAGAAGTTATTGCTGGACAAGTGCCAGCAAATGCCCAGGGAGTTAGGAAGAATAAATCTAGAACATGTTTTGTAATCCCAGGAGTCAGCTATACTGTCAATAAACTTCTCTGAGAGGCGGGAGAATAAATACATCTGTCTTAGAGGTACATTCTGGGCTTTGGTGCCTACTGATCTGGTTGGAGTGTGTTGTGGTTCCTCCCAGCTTGCGCACCAGATTGTGTTGAAATCCACACTTGGATTGAAGCCATGACGGAGGGAGGGAGGGAGGGTGTACATTCCCCTCCTGTCTTGACAAAGAGCCACAGGCAGTGGGGTCAAAACTGCTCCTTTGTGGCCTGGTTACTCACATGGTGTCAGTCAAAAGTATCTCCAGTTTCTGGCAAAAGTTGTCCAAACAGTGTAGCATAAATAATGTAAATTGGTCATGAATGCAATGGAGACATTTTCTCCACTGCTTAAAAAGAAATTTCCCTGCTTTTTACATCATTTTCACTCTGCCTAGGAAGTAATTGGTATTAGAAACTTAAAAATAGTTTGCAGGTGTAGAAGTGCAACTTGGAGAGGTAAGAAATGTAAAAAAGGAATAGGAAAAATTTCTTGGCATTTACACCTCTGAAAATCTGGAGTAGCAAAGCAGAAATTATCCTCTGGCAAATTGTGGTTATTAAATGGTACTAAAACACAAAGTGTTCAGACACACTAATTCCCTGTACAATGACAATGTTCTACTGGAATATTTTAAATCACAACTTGTTTGTAGAAGCAAATTGTATAGCTGCATTCTTCAGTTTGGCATGAATTTCTTAGCAGATGATAATTTGAAGATAGTGTTGACCTGTGGCATCCAGAGTTACTGAGGCAGATTTTTTTCCATCACGTCTGTCTTTAAGCCATGTTTGAGCCATAAACAGTGCTTCTGTCCCTGAAGATGCTGACTCTTTCACAATAATCTTCTCCAGAAGCCAGTCAGAACCTCTCCCTTTTTCAACAACCATCCTTTGCAGAATACCAATATCTACTGCCTCCACTTGAAAAATATCCACCTAAAAAATTCAGAATCAGAAGTCATATGCAAACAGAATCATGTAACTAATTTATCAGTGTATTTTGAAATATGAAAGTGAGAAGAATATCAGGATTTTTTTATTAACTCAATAAATATCAACAGAACCACAGATGACAAATTTAACCATGCTAAATGGCTGCATTATGAAGTATTTCTTCCCTTTGTGGTTCTGCAATTTACAGCTAAACCCCGTCTTTGCCCACACAGATCTATCAGTTGCCTATGCTTGCTTAATGAGAAATTTTTCTTCCCAAAATTGATCTTTAATGATCTGCAGGGATTATATTTTAAACATATCTTACTCTCAACAAAATAGACCCCCAAGGGCTATGAAATGAAATGCAGGGAATGAGAAGGATAGAAACAAGCATCACAGAAGGAATCTCTAAAGAAAGAATGACAAACTTGGTACCAGATTTGGATTAACTTGTAGGATTAGTTTCAATATAAGTAATTGAATGGAAAGAAAAAATATTAAATAAAACTATGTTGAAGTAAGTTCTGCTATTCTTTATCAGTTAAAAACCGCATGATAATTTTACAATGCTTAGAACACTGAAGTGAAATTCCTAAAGAAAATTGTGGTATATCAGACATTCAACACTTTCACAATATGTGATTCTGGCTTTTTGTGAGCGTTACACTTATTTCCTGTTTCCTCAGTGGAAAAACAGACATTAAATTCTTGGCACAGAGACTTTCCACATTTTTTGCTTTATAGATTTATGAATCATCATCTCATTTCTACTGGGGTTTATAACTGTTAAATCTAGTGTTATTTGTGATGGCATTTCCAGCATGATTTAAAGATGCAAAGATGGTTTTGAAGGGAATAGGTAGCAATAATGAGGAAAACACTTGAGTCCTGAGAACTCTTGAAGCCGTCCCAAAGTAATTCACGCTGAAGTTGCTCTGTCAGAGCAACCCTTAAAGGTTTATGCAGATATGAAACAGAGAATAGCAGTTCTCTTGCTCCACCTCCATTCTTTCCTAGGCAGGTTTTCCAGCTGAAGAAGTCATGCAAGATTTGTGTCACAAAGATGAACCTAAGCAGCTTGCAACTTAGAAAGACACAGCATAAGCTCAAATATTGAGCTTAAAATTACAGATAATATATAACATCCGCTTTAAAAAGGATCCCCAGAAACAGAAAAATTTTTAATTTGTTCTTCAACTTTTGTTTCTCATTTTTCATTAATATCTATACATCTGGATTTGAAAGTGTGTGTGTTTGTGAACCACACCTTTAACAGTGCCCTAAAAATAATAATCAACATGCTACTGATTACTCTACAACTTGTAGACAGAAAGGTCATGTTAGTCAAAAACTGCTATAATGTACCATCTAATCAACGCATCTGCATTATCACTCTTAAGCTATCAGGTGAAATGGGAAAATGAGACGATGATATTAAGGAAAAAATCTGAAAGAGACACTTAAATAGCTGTACTTGCTCACAAGGAGTCAAGGTTCTCAGCAGCTTAGTGAATCTAACAGCAGAGCAAATACATTGGAACAGCTGAAATTCTAGACGAAGTGCAGAACTGCAGGAAAAGAGGCTCCTTTTCATGTTTTCCTTAGCTAAATAAAAAAATTAAGGTTTAGTGTCAACACAACCATTTTATTTTATTACCTATTGGACTAATTTGATGATTGAATACCATTAATTTGAACTCTTGATTTACATTAATTGTGATATTAATTTGATCACTCCTTTATTCCAGCTTTAATTGGATTGGTAAAGTTATACCCTCATGCCTGAATAAAATGAATTTCTTACACTTATTAAATGAAATGTATTAAAAATACACTCAGTTAGGAGATGACTGAAAAACACAGACTGAACTAAAAACATACAGGCCCCTGTGTCTGTCAGTAAAAAAAATATTTTAAGTTCACAAAATACAAAACTTTATACTAAAATTGCTAGTTCTTGCAAATGATTATGTTTATAGTAAAGCATGATTGTTGAGGTTTAACCCCAGGCATTATCCAAGCCCTACAGAGCTGCTCGCTCACCCGCTCACCAGCAAGATCAAGGAGAGAATGAGAATGGTAACAGCTAGAAAATTCGGGGGTTGAAATAAAGTTTAATAGACAAAGAAACAGCCATACACACAAGCAGAGCAAAACAAGGAATTGATTCAGTGCTTCCCATGGGCAGGCAGCTGTTCAGCCATCTCCAGAGGAGCAGGGCCCCAGAATGTGCAGAGGTTACTTAGGAAGACAAATGCCATCACTCCAAATGTCCTCCTTCCTCCTTCTTCCCCCACTTCCTACACTGAATGTGCCTCTGGTCAGGTCCCCACCCTCCCATGCACCCCCAGTCCCTCACCAGTGTGGCAGCACAAAAAGCAGGAAAGGCCTTGGCTCTGTGCAAGCCCTGCTCAGTGATAACAAAAACATCTCTGTGTTATCAGCTCTGTGTTCAAAAACACAACCCCATACACCCACTGGGAATAAAATTAATTCTACCCCAGCTGAAACAAGCACAATTATTTTATTGGAAATACGTGAGAAAGCTCTTGTCAGATATTTGTTGGAAGAATTTCTTTTTAAGAGAAAAGAGTTTTCCAGAGAATGACTAATTTAGTGGCATGATCATCAGCATCTCCAAAAAAATCTGTTGTCAGTGATCCACTCTTGGAAAGGAGAGTTAGGAATATAGGAAAACTGCAGACAATAATCTTCTGGCTTCTAGGCTTAGGCTGTCCTCAGAAGAATAATTGGATCTGACTTGCACCACGTTTGATGGTTAACAAACTGTTAGTACTTTTAACTTAGTAACTTAATAAATCAGGGACAGCATGTGCTATGGGTTATCCATGACCTGGAGGATCCAGCCACAGATAAAAGCAAGTTAAGTATAGTTAAGACACAAAAGGTTTTACACTTCCTTTTTCCTATGAAAATAAGATCTATTTTGATAGAAAAAACATTTGTGAAAACTTTGATGTTTGGTTTCTGTCAGACACAGTACTTTAACCTTTGTCAATGTGCCATTTTAAAGACCTCACCTTAGAGAATGTAAAATCTCAGAAATCCATGGACAATTCTGCAGATTATTCAAACTAATAAACTACAAGCTAAGGAACTATTAAATAGACTAGAAATTGTGTCATCTGGGGTAAACTCACCTCACAGACAAGACTACATTTTCTCTTTATGTGTACATTTGAAAATCTACACAGTGTAATGAGCTTTATTTTAGTCAAGAGACCAAAAAAGAACAGAGAAAGAGCAGCAACTGTACTTGTTAGAGCTAAAAACAATTGGCTAGAGATAATTTATTTGCTAAATTTAATTCACTTTTCTCCTCTCAAGCTGTCTGCAAACTGAGAGATTATGACGTATATTTCATTCTAATTTTATGAAATTCAATTATTATTAATAATTTAGCCAATATTTTTGCAGATTCATCTGAAACCATGGATTAGGCATAAAATATTCTAAATACTCCAGTTGTTGACAGGTCTTGTATGTCACATGATACTCTATCTTTTATTTGACAAATGGGGACCTTCAAATTTACTGGAGGGTTAATTCTTCTGCAAAAAGAGAAAGAGAGAGGAAGAAAATATACAGAACATAAGCAAACCTATAGAATATAAAATTTATCTTCATAATTTTCCCCTAGGGAAAAAAAATGTTAATTGTTTTTTAGTTACTACTAGCAAATTAGATTTGAACTGAGAAGTCACCTTAAATATTGATAATAATACATATTGTCTAATTCAGCAGAGCCTATATTGAATTTTCTCAGAATAGCATTAAAGCAATTTGTATGTATGTACAGCCCACTAAATTTTCTTAATTAACGTTGCCTGGAGAAAGAAAGATATTCTCCCAGTCTGAGCAGCTAAGATTGACAATGGTAGAGTCATACATCCTCTGTGACCCAGAAGAGCTGCCCTGGCAAAACCAGAATTGGTACTTTTCATGCATCTTGGCTAAGAAAATAAGGAGTAAAAAAATCCTTTATAACAATAATTTCAGCAATCCTTTCAGAATATTTAAAGTTTGGGTTTTTTCTTAACTCCTTTTCAGATTTTCTTCAATTTTTTTTTTTTTTTTTTTTTTTTTCAGGGACCCACGTTGTGAGCCTTTTCTTTGAATCTATGACCCAGTTTATTATGACTTTATTCAGTACTCTTCTGTGACAGTGCTGGCAACATATCACTGTCTGCAGCAGCTGCAATAGCTCTTGTAACAGAAGAAGCATTTGAGCAGTCACTGTGCAATATTTACCTTTATAAATGCCAATCATTTTACAGGCTCGGTATTGAGACTTGATGGTTGGTTAATGACGATATTCCCAGAAGAACTGAAAATGGCAAGTCAAGACATACCATATGCTTCATTTCATCAACCTGTATGCACAAGTGATTTCCCATACTGCTAATGTTAGTATCATTTTAATAGGCTTTTATTGGAAAAGGAGTCAGAATGTCTAGATAAAGGACCTTTTCTATTAAGCTTAGTGAACCTATTGATTTGCTGCCTGATTATTTTGATCTCACTTGTTAATCTGGAGAAACTCCACTGAAAACAAAGGAGCTTTAACACAGGTAGGCAAAATGAAGGCGCCCTGTAACACTGAGCCCAATCAGAAATAGTGTGTAAACCTTCCTGGACAGGGAGAAAAAAAAGAAAAATTACTTTTGCCCCTTCAGACTGTGGCCCTACGGGCTCTTCCAGTTGTGCTGAACAGAACCCCTCCACCCTGTCCCAAATGCTTGTCACATCACTACCTTTGCTTAGATGGATGTTATCACCTTTTTAGTTGGGCCAGGACAGCCATAAAATCATCTCCAGCAAAATTTTATTGAAATAGACCAAGTGAAAAAGCCCAAATCACTAATGATATGAACTGCTTAAACTAAATAAACATTTGGACAGAGCAAATGTCACTGTGCCAGCAGACTTCAGAGGTGGAAATATTGGGTGGTAAGCAGCAGTGATGACAAGCACTGGTA